TGTGAATGCGTTACCGGGTGACCAGGGTGGGGCCCTGTCTTTTTTTTGGGGGGGGGGGGGCGGGGCAAGGGGGCTGCTGCGTGGTTTGGGGAAGCCTAGGTCAGAACACCTATATTTTTTACAGCTTACTAAAACATTATCCTTAACTGACAAAAGCTGTAATGAGCAATAGAAGTCAGTCTTTGTGGTGACAGTCATAGCATAAAGAAAACAGAGGCTTGGAATCTTAGAGACATAAATGGTAAAGAGCATAAATTAACAAATGAAATAGGGAGGGGGAAGCATATTGTGGGGGAGAATGTGATAGCTCCAAAGGAAGTACAGGCGCATAGATAAAGTTTGAATGAAAGGGCTAAAAGACATGTCTGCACATACAAATTAGTGTCATCCAAGTTATCCTGAGCGCATATGAAAGTAGAAATTCATGGGCTGATAACAATGGTTTCTTAGCCTAATGCCTGGGAAAATGCTGCTATTGTTCTTTTATACAAAAGGAAGGGTGGTAAGAGTGAAGACAATAAATACAAAGGCATTCGCTTCTTAAAAGCACCTGAGAAGTTATTTGGTAGAATTTTGTTTAAAATGGAAAGAGAGGGGACACTGAACCAAATTTAGTAACTGTGGTGCTGTTTTTATGCCGGGCAGGGGTCAATAGACCAGATATTTACTTATCTGTCATTGAGAAATGTAAGAATATAGTAAAGCATTTGAGAAAATAAATGGGATATTTAACCAATACTTCAGTATCAAGTAGACAGTAAGATCCCTTTTGTGTCCCTTTAGAGTTTGATAAATGTATAAGGAATGTTTGTGGGCATGTTAGAAGTGTTTTGGTTGATATGAATGTATGTGTACATTCATGTACAGATAATTGACACTTGAAACGATTTGCAGCAAATGTTTAATGATACGATATTGTGAGGAATTTAGGGCCAAGCAGTTGTGAACAATGCAAATTACACATGTAAATAGAACACAAAAGCAAATAGGTGAATTCATGTGCCTTGCTAAAAAGCTTACTAAAAAAACACTCTGGGGAGGTAAGACACCCCTAACACCCCTCAGAGTGTGTGTTCTGTTAAGACACAGCCTGTTACGCTTTAAAATGACTTCTACTGTACTACCGTAAAATGACTTCTACTGTACAGTGCAGTGGAGTTGCCATGGTAATGGCTTCACAGTACTCTACAAGGTGGAAAATCCAACATTAGAAATTACATTTGGTCCGTGCATTTCCCCCCTATAAATAAATACCCGGGCAATGCTGGTTTATCAGCTAGTAAATTATATGACAGAAGAGGAAGGGACTAAGAAGATAGAGTGAAGTGAGAAAGTCATAATTAGACGGAGATGATAAAATCCTGAGAAAGAGGTGGTTTTTTTTACATTTTCTTATTTCAGACCTTTAATTTCTCTGATTTATATTCTGTTTCCATTGCAAAGCATTACTTATCGGAAAGAGAATACTGTGATGGACATGTAGGTAAACACACAGATGTATGCTGTACCTCCTTTGCGTCTCATAAATCTTAATCCCTAACTGAAGACCAAATAACCTATTGCTCTCACAACATTTTAAGCTAATTCCCATCATTCCCATCAACGTGGAGAATTTTGAAGGACTGAATGTGTTATGGAGGCCATTAGATTGTCTTACCCAGCCTAATAAACAACTGTGTTGTGTAAGAGCTGGTGTGATTCCTGCATATACGCCATAGTCTGACAAGAACAAAGTGTTAGTTATATATATATGTATGATGAAAGTTATGACTGGAAGTAGGTTCTTCTATCAAACAAGCATAACAACTTGAAGGAATCCCTGATGTCCAGTTGTCGGCTCCTCCTGCCTTGTTTCTGTCCCCTTTTCTCACCTTTACTGTTATTTGAAAGTAGGCACTAATTCCTTAAAGTGACACACTCTCCTTCTCCAGATCAAGGTCTACTCATTTTGCATGGTTTGCTGTGGTCTGCGATCTATAAAAGCCATATTTAAAAATGTGTTACTTCGATGGGTTTTTTTTTTAAGCAAATGCTTACAACACATTGTATAATTTAGGAATGCCCAAGTAGTCATTTAGTCTTCTTTGATCATTTCTAGGTTGGATTCTTCATTTTCCCAGCGTATTCCCCCAGTCGCAATGCAAATTCCAATATGGCATTTAGACTGTCACTTGGCCAAAATGGAAGTATCATTTCCTCCTTCAGCACTTTGATGGTTTTAATTTAATGGCGTAGATATGCTTATCTGTACTTCATTATTTTTCATTCTATTTTTTTTTTAATTTGTGGAGCTGAACCATAGTTCTTAAGTATGTCTGGTGTAAAGGTTAGTATAGGATTATCATGTAAGGTGATGAATCAAGGTGCTAAAGTGACACGGTTGGATTTCCTCTTTCCCTTTCTCCACTTTCCACCAACTTGGTGCATGTGATTTTCTCGTTCGTCTTCAGAAAAAGGGCTTGTATTCCTGCTAACTGGTATGCTTTGCTGGTGCATTGATGCTGTATTCACTGTGCTGGCGGGTGGTGCTGGCACTCTGTGCATGCTAATGGAAACATCCCCAAGGCCAGTTTTTCTACTTAATTTGTTTTCTCTCCTTTGTTTGGCCACAGGCTGATGAGCTCAGCAGCCCCTTTGGACAGATCAGCCTCAGCCGCCAAGGATCCACTGAAGCCCCTGATCCGTCCTCTGCCATGTTCCAGCAGCCAATCATGTCCCAACATCCTCAGCAGACAGGATTCATCATGGCTTCCCCAGGACAGCCAATCACTGCCTCCAACTACTCTGCCTCAGGGCACACGGCGCCAGCCCAGCAGGTTCTCCAACCCCAGAGCTATATGCAGCCTCCGCAGCAGGTAAGTAGCAGCATCAGGTGTAACGGTAACACTTCCATCGGACTGTTTTCTGCTATGGTTTTCTTAGGATATAGAACAGAATGGTACAGTCCACTGGTATACATTCCATTATAGCACAGAGGGGCAGTCGTAGCTCCCATCTATCGGCCTTGAATCAAAAATGGGAGAAACCACTACGTCTTTGGGGGAATCATGTTCAAGGGACAATATGTACTACAGTTATCTGTATAAAAATAAAAAAGCTATTATACAAAAATACTTACAATAATGAGAGGGGAATACACACCACTATTTTTTTCCTCTAAGCAAATTGATCCAAGGGAATCGTAAAAGAATTCATGTAACTTCATCACAAGACAGGTTAGAACAGTATGGTCTCAATTTCTGATAAACATTGATTGTCGAAAAAAATTGGAAAGCTTTGAAATGGCATGCATACTAAGCCATCATACTGCTGTTCCCTTTTAGGACAACAATATTATACAAAGTACAAGAACAGAATAAAAATAAAGTAAGCGGAAGGAATTAAGGGAAGAGAAGGGGAAGGGAAGGAATCCCATTTAAGGAGTCTTTAAAGGAATTAAGTAAAGGTAAAGGTTCCCCTCGCACATGCGTGCTAGTCGTTCTTGATTCTAGGGGGCGGTGCACATATCCATTTCAAAGCCAAAGAGCCAGCGCTGTCCAAAGACTTCTCTGTGGTCATGTGGCCGGCATGACTAAACACCAAGGGCATGGAATGCCATTACCTTCCCACCAAAGGTGGTTCCTATTTTTCTACTTGTATTTTTACGTGCTTTTGAACTGCTAAGTTGACAGAAGCTGGGACAAGAAATAGGAGCTCACTCCATTATGCAGCGCTAGGGATTCGAACCCGTCGAACTGCCGACCTTTCTGTTCGACCATCTCAGCGTCTTAGCCACTGAGCCACTGCGTCCCTTCTAAAAAGAATTAAAAAATGAGAAACACAATTACATCTATGTTGATGAAAATTCCGTAAGCCATTCACTGTATCTCTCCATACATTTCTAGACTCGTAGACCATATTTGCTCCTTGCCAGAGCTATACATGGCTTTATACATTATATTTTCTACTTTTTAACCAATTCCTTTTTGAGGCTTTTATCAACTCCATCGAACTATTCTTTTGTTGGATCTTCTCTTTCCATCATCAACCCAATAACTCTTACATCTTAGACCTGATTTGTAATTTGAACCTCATTAGTTTTTTCTACATGACTACTCCCATCACTAGTTTTTCATACTGGTTACTAATTGTATTCAGCCCACATTAAATTAATCTATTCATTCTTGACCCTTTCTTGATCTTCTTTTACCATACACTTCTCTAGTAATCCGTTCTCATTATATGTATCACACCTCTCACTTACATGCAACAAACTGGTACAAAGACACACTCATACAGAGCCATTTTGACTTGTTTAAAATAAATATTCACTTGTTGCAACAGATCACATGCTACCTACTACCTTTTCTGTCAGCATTTGCATGTCTGTTATCCATTTTTTCATCTTTAGTAAACATGCTTCTGAAGGACAACATTTCATTTGTTTGCGCTAGGGGGTTATTGTTTTTTTTTGCTATTAATGTATAACTTGAAATTGTTTGTCCAACTTTCTCTTACAAATTCAGTTCTCTTTGGTATTTTACCACGTGAATTTTAGATCCCTACTTCTCACTGCATCATATAATCTGTCCACCATTTTTGTTAAGGCTAGAAACCAGGAGTCTGAGAGTTCTAGTTCTACCTTAAGTCACAAAGCCAGCTGGGTGACCTTGAGTTAGTCACTCTCTCTTGGGCCCTATGAAGTGGGCAAGGACACACAGTTTCCATAACCCTTGTCTAGATTCTTTTCTAGACTCTAGAAAACTGGAGTCGCCAGGTGTCAACACTGACTTAAAGGCACAAAAACAAACAAACAATTCTCAGCAAATAGCATGTTCATGTCCTTGATTAGCCAGCCTAAACATAAGTTTATCATAAGCAATCTTTACTGGAAATTTAGTACAGGCACTCCTTAACCATAGATACCTTAAACAATCATTACATGTCTTTGCTTGGTGATAAACTACTCAGTAAGCATTACAAAATCATTGTCTTAATAAATTATGATCCTAGAAACCCTAGTATTCAAATAGTATGCCACAATACAAATAGCAGAGCTGCTAGAAAAAAATAGTTTATAGTGGCAGAGCACTCATGAATGAAAATACCTTCATAACCAAAACCTTCCCAAGAACAAGGATCCTAATACTTTCTTAGCACTTTTTCTAATTAGCTGTAAAAAGTGTCCCATGTGAGTCAGTAGCTTATATAATGTTAATTCCTTTCAAATCACATGGGAATCTCAAACATTTCTTCATTTGAGTTTTTTCTTTTCTTTCTTCACCTGAAATGTTATCATCAGCATATTTCTTTGGCACTTAGGTTACCCATTTTGGGAATGGGGAGGAAGACACTTCAGCAGCAGTAACGCCCCAAAATGAGGAAAAAAGCAAAATAGACACTAACAGAGTAACATACGCATAGTAGCTGACTTGAGTGGACAATAAAGCAGCAAGGCATTGTATTTAACTGAACATTTCTCCCCACGTTCATCTGCCATTTCTGGTTAGCTCAGAACTGAAACCCAGAAAAATTATGCATAAACAAAGATATTTTTGCTATATAGATATCATTCCCCTATTCAGCAATCCTGTATGAGCAAATTTGTATTGAATAAACCCGTGCTATATAAGAACTGATTGCATTTATTCTTAGGAATACTTTACTTCTATTGCATGCCATTCCTCTCTCATTTAGAACTATCCTGTTCTTGGAAACATTCCAGAATTCATACCTATTTACTTTAAATCTTCCTTTAAATCAGCAAATGCACAAATATTTCTGTGACATGACAGAGAGCAAATATTTTTCTTTCTTTCTTTCTTTCTTTCTTTCTTTCTTTCTTTCTTTCTTTCTTTCTTTCTTTCTTTCTTTCTT